GTCACGCAGTCGGTGGCGTTCCTACATTCATTTTCTTGCATCTAGTTGTGCATTTTCGTTCCATTCTGATTAGGTTAACGCATTTCCTTCTTGTTCCCGTCTTCTTTTCATGCTATTTGCCTTTAGGCCCATTATCTTCCTGTTGGAATGTAGTGTTGCTCTTACAGTATGAGCCAGGCCAACTGGATTCACCCCACTTCGGCGCTCGGATCACAGTAGCGCAGCTGAACTGAACTATACAACGACCAGAAATGTTAAGAAAGGTGCCTTTTTTCACCGGCTAAGTTCAAATAAACCGTTCATGAGAGCCGAGTCACAACCTGGTAGGGAAATGCTTCGCGAGTTAGAAGAGATAGTAATGGTCCGTGCATTTTATCTTGGTGGTGCATTGGTCTACATCCGTAAGTCCTACTGAGAAAGACAGTGACGCCAATCGGGTAGTCCAATGCTGTAAAATGGGGAGCAGAAAAGGCAAAATTGTGACTACTTAAACACAACGCAAAAGTAGCAAAGTGGCCCATATGGAGTTGTGCAGTGCGATTCGCTCTGTGTGATAATGGGCTCAGGTAGCGTTCATCGGGACGATGCTAAAATAATGCCGGAATTAGGGGCCGTCACGATTTCCCAGTAAATTGACACTCTCACACAAACGTGGTTATCCGCAGTTTGCGGGGTACAGCTCATACTATGACCAAAGTACATAGATAACGAAGCAAGAGCACAACCGCACGGGCTATATGCGGATGTTTAGTAAGGTAAATATAGACAATACTACGTAACTACAAAGTCCATTGCACTGTGCTATTTTGGTAAATAGCAGCAAAAATGTTGTGGACCGGAAAGCACATTGGGCTTAGATTAGACCAACATGGCCATTCTACACAGTGGCTAGGAGTGAGAAATAATCCAACTATGACGCAATACGATGCAACCATGTGGCAAAAAAAAAGAAAAAAAGTAAGGCGCTGTTTTGTATCATGCATTAACAACGAGACCGTGATTTGAGGGGGATGTAAAGGATTGGGTAGCGCGACATAAAGAAACTCTCAAGAGAATTTACCAATCATAGAACTGCCTTGAATGATCTTAGTTTGTCGGCCACTCTAATTTACCCCGCCGACATGCACAAGGTCTTTGATCGGGTTCCTCATGAAAATCTGACAGCTAGATTAATGTCATACGGGATAGGTGAACCACTGCTTTCTTAGTTCAGGTTATACCTTACAAGTCGAAAACATGTGGTACAAATTTAGGCATAGAAGCCTGAGCTTACACCTGTCACCCGTGGTGTCATACAATGAAGTGTCCTTGGGCCGATAAACCATACCTCCGCCGTCTCTAATGCCTTGGAAAGAATTGTTAAGACTCCGGTAACATAGTTCCTGACAAGACAAAACCAGCTCAGCAGTTCCCAACACGGGTTGACAACAAAACGTTCTTTTGTCACACTGCAACTACAATTCGTCAATCACGTTACAGCAACCTTAAATGACGGCATGACCATCATCATCATCCTTCTGGATATGTAAAAAGCGTTTGACTGTGTACCGCACAAACCATTGTTGATCGTGCTGCAGTCCTATGGAATCAACAACCCTCTTCTGAGTTGGTTCGTATCATAATGGCCGAAGAGAGAGAGTACAGATTGGTGAATATTGTTTTGCTTCTAGAAATGTCACGAGCGGTGTTGTTCATGGCAGTGAATACACTGCCAATTGCTTTTCTCATTTACATAAACGATGTATGTGATTATATTAGACATGGGTGCCTATGTGAAATTGTGGACGACATCAAACTAGTGTACTCAGTTCTACCTATCCACCTGGAACTATGCGTAAAAGATACACGCGAGAAATTGTCATTCCCCAAACAAATGGAGTGAAAGCAGACCAATGAGGTGTTCTGCAGATAAGTCTCAGATACGCTGCCACAGATGCAGTATCCCAGAAGGATCCATCACTCTCACTGGCACCCTCATCCCAACGGCGTATTCCGTTCGAGACTCAGGAATTGGATATTCGAGTAGCTTCAACTTCTCCGGACACATCCTACATCAAATAGCCAAAGCGAAGCAACTAACGAGTTACATCAGTAGGTTATTTTTACTATCCTAAACACAATTTGAATCGTCCAAACTCTTTGTGCGACCCACTCTAAATTCTTGCACCATCATACATAGCCACTTACGTACAACAGATAGAATTGCTCTGGAAAATGCCCAACGCTCATTTACCAAAATTCTCATGGAGCGCTCATCATTGCACACCTGTGAAGAGTGATGTTCTCACCTCTAGCTCGATCCACTCTGGAAAATCAATATCTACAGAATAATATACTCGCGAGTTTGCACAATCAGCACGACCGTCGTAGCACATAACAGCTGAACCTATCCCCCTTCATAATGAGAAATGTCAACTACTACCAAGAAAAACATCCTCTTAGATTTCTTCTTGGTGAGATACGCCTATCTGTGGAATAAATTACCGTGCTAATTAAGGTCCTGCAAGAGCCAGTCCGTTTTTAAAACTTTCCTTGCCAAATGTGGTCAGACTTTTCGACCTTCAGCAATCCACAAGCGCGCTCATGGAATCGGGCCCGAATAACATATGACAACATTAACTACCAAATAATGTTACTTATTACATATGTAACAAAGCATTTCATAACCGTTCCATATTGAATAGATGTTATGTATGAAATGATGACGAAACTCGCTGTATAGGTGATTGTTCCACAAAGTGGAACGCATCTCGCCCGTCGGGAAATAAAACCATTTATTTAGTTATTTATTTATATGGTAACAGTGTCTTTGGCGTAAAAAAATCCGGTACACCATACCTGTTTGTCGATGACATTAAAATCGTGTACACTTTCAGTCCGGAAGCCTCCAATGATGATCTCAACTACATTCAACTTGACCGTTATGCGCTTGAAACCTGATGCTCAAAGAAGAAAATTTCATCCTCTGCTGAAAAAGGTTGTGCAACGGCTAACAAGTGCGATTTGACTCATTGTGGCCTAACTTGTGATGGCAAACCTCTTAATCTCTGTTCTACGGTAAGGAACTAGGGATTGCGATATTCATGCGTAACCTGGCTTTTGTGAACAAGTAAAATATGCCACCGAGAGAACAAGACAGAAAATTGGATTGGTATTCAGGACATTTTCTCAACATGAATCAATACTTCATTAGTACAAATTAGTAATTCGACTCACAATGGAATATTGATCAACGGCATAGAACAGCTCAAGAAAGCGCGACCGCATTACACTGGAACAAGTATGGAGAGCATTCACAAAGCGCCACCTAGGTGCTTCTTCAAAACTGGAATATTCTGAACAATGTGATAAGCTCAAAATAGATCCGTAATGGCAACACTGTATGAAACACAACCTCGTGATATTCTTCAACATACTACACAGGCATATATATGTTGCCCACCTCAACATGACAAGAATGCAATCAACAGCCTACAACATACGAAACAAAGAGAACCTAGTGGCGAAATGCAGATCCAAGACTAGCAGGTCCGACAAGGTTTTCCTCAAAACATAAGCTAGAGTTTGGAACAATAGCTACCAGTCGGGATGCGCGCCTGCAATCTTGAACACGAATTTCGCAAAAGCATCAACCAATTTTTGTGTGCACAGAACGTAAACAAACGGTTTGATAGTTTCATAACAACAAACCAAGAGTACGGGCAGGGTGTCGATTTCTAATGACCAGGGACATGTTTTATCATTATACTATATTCAGTGATTTAGCTGTTTTATATGAGACAACAATTAAAAGCCAGCCAACATGATTTCAATTCAGTCAATAATAATAATAATAAATAATAATGTGTCAGCTGTACGCCGTAACGGCGCTTCGCTGCCGCGCGACCACCACCAGTCGCGCGCGGGCTGAGTATACCGCGAGGACGCCCACCCCTACGCGGATTCGAACCGGTGACCTTATGGTTGCAAAGCAAACGTGCAGACCACTCGGCCACCGGCCGAGCATGCTGATACAGGCGTGTTTCGCATCGTGAAGAATAAAAGTTTATTTATCTACTCATGTCGACAACTGAATCCAACGAAACATGTTCATCGTCCGTAGGACCCCAACTGAGGAGTAGAGAAGCTGCAAGCGAAACCAGCTAAAAGGTGAGGACTTTCATTCCTATTGACCAAGTAATCGATTGGACCCCACTTTGCTTCCTTCCAGACCCCGATCGCACAAACAATGCACGACGGGGGGGTCGGTGTACTGGTATGTGCAACACTTGGCTGAGCCATCGGAGCCTGGTGCTTTTCCTGCACCATAAACAAGACGCCGAACACGTTCATTGCTCACGCGGTGTTCCCACCAGATGTGAGCTAGGCTGTGAAGCCAACAATGGCCGAAGGTAACAAGCCGCTTCACATCTGCCGATTTAATGGACCGCGTTGCAGGGCCGTTACGGATCTTATCACAGTCTGAAAAATAGACGGATAGCTACAAGCCAAAGAGAGTTAACGACAACAGACTGAAGCTGTTGGAATTTATCGATGGATTGCCCAAAGCTGGTGTGCGGTCTATCCGGAATAAAATTGATGGCAAATATTACGGGAAGAGACTGCGCGTGGCTTTTCGTGCTGCTCCCCATTCCACCACATCCATTATGTGACGACTGTAGCAAACAACGGTGACATAGAAATATAACCAGTAGGGCCTAAAATATAAACCCGATTCCAATTATACGTCGACAAAACACGATTCGCAGAAGACACGTTAAGTGACGCAATTGAATGATGCATGTGAAATTGCTCGAATGAAAGATTTGAGCCAGCGCTATTCGAAATGGGATCACGTGATGGCAAACTGGATTTCAGGGTGACCTGGGGTGCCTACAGGACAGTCTTTGGATGCAACATCAGGAAGAGTAAAGTGTTGCCAAAGAAAACGAAATGCAACAAAATGTAGAGAATATAAATGATGACCATTGCGGAATACTGTACCGGACGTATGAGCTTACCATTCGCACTGGTCAAGCTGATGCTGTTTGCCAGTAGTTTAGAACGAAATCTTGCAGCCGAATGCGAACTCTCTGAGGGCGACTTGTACTTGAAAGAGTCCCCTCGTAAAGCGGAACATACGCGACGCATCAAACTGATTCCATGCGCTGTTGTGTTCAACTGGCAGACAGCGTCATCTGGCACAGGGAAACGTGACTGATTGAGGATGGAAAAAGGCGAACGTAGAATTCTCCAAATTCAGTGCAGTAAGGGTCAAAATAGCAGTAAACAAGTAAATTTCAAAGTTGGATTTAAACAGGTCAAATCAGTGACGTGTCTGCTTAGCGTTAGAGAATAGGTCCTGTTAACAAAGATGAGAAACGGAACGCGATGACAATAAGGTAGGCTCGGTGAACTCCATCAGTTGTGATCACGGGGTAAGTCAGGCGATTTGGTCGACAAAAAGCGCATCGAAAAGAAGCACCAGTGCAAAAAAAGAGAAAACAGCAAGGGAATAAAATGTCACGTGAATAAAAAAGAAAAGGGGATTCTAGTACCCCGACGGAAAACTGAAAGTGTCACACGGAATCCAATTAAACTGTACAAATGGTAGCGCGAACGAGCAACAAAGGGAACAGACATCAACAACATTTGTAGCATGTTGCGAGGGCCACATCCTTGAAGATGAAGAGTTAGACATGCATAGATAAGCAACCAACAGTGCTACCCATTTCAGGATGCGTTCCCCGTCTTCACCAAAGTGAAACCATTTATCTTGGTGGATGACATTAGATGCGCAGGTAAAGACCTCACTATTTTTCATATTGAACTTAAACAGATCCAACGTTGATGGAACACATGGAAAAGATGTAATTCCCTGAGAGTAAATGGCACAACGCTTGCTTCCACAATACTCGGATTTGGTTAAATTTACTGAACAAATGTACTTTAGCGCATCGAAAGCGAGAACATTGATCGGCTATACATGCAGATCGATATCGTCCACGGAATCACGACACTTCATGACATGCTTGCGGGATAGACGGTACTACTAACTAGTGTTCAGTAGTTTGGGAAAAGGTGATAAAACGGTCATGGAGAAAGTGCAGTATTCTATGCGAACCAATTGGGCTGGATTCGCATTAGGGTACGTACGATCGATAAACCTTTTATTCATGCTCCAACATTTAGATATTCCCAATGTAAATACCCATTGTTGCGCCACTTAGATACAGCCTCTTGCTATGCGTCGCAAACAAGCTCTATTCGATCATCCTACAGGATACTAGTGCCCACGTACGCTGTGGGCTATTCACAGATGCACTTACGCATGTAACAGCATTAGTTCGGCGCATCGCACCGACTTTTCTGCCAAGAGACCACCGCCGGTTTCATGCGTGCCATGGTAATGAGAGAACACCCACATCCATACAGGTTCCAACTGGTGAATCGTGGACCGTAAACGATTCTGTCACTGGTCAGACAAGGGAGCACATTAACAATGAACTCGACAGCAACCACACAATCAAAGATGTGCTATTGGAGCATAGATCGGGTTGAGTCTGGGCATTATATGTCTCCGATACCATACAGGCCTCCTTCACCTATTCCAGGTCTAACAGTAGTGATCCCACGACACACCACTGGGAGCTACTTCGCTCAATACAAAATAGATTCAAAGAGCCCGTAATTACACGTGTGAATCGGATGGTCAATAGTTACCAGTATCCAAACCTCGCCGTACTTGAGAAACTCCAAGGAAAAGCATGTAGGGACTAGTTACCCGGCCAACCAGCGATCCACTCTACTTCTCAATGCTAATTTTGTTATATCTGGCCTCTTCGAGCATAACCCACTGGTTACGCTCAGACTAGACCAAGTATAGGCACATCAGAAAAAGAGAAAAGCCTCAAATGCTCAAACCTAGTTGGAATCGGCGATGTACTTCAATCGTGACTCAAATGCTCAAAATGTTTGTTGCGATGCAGAAATCGGACTAGTGAGATCAGCGGGGTTCAGCAGTGAGACGTGATCATGTTTCACAATAAGCGAGTGATTATGAAGCACATACTGTGTGAATGGATTGCAACACCCAATCTCAATCGGGTCTCGGTTGATATCCCGAAGGCCCTGGGTTCGAGTCGCAGCGGCATATCTCTGCTTGGTGAGTACAAAGGAGCACGAAACCAGGATTGAAAGCTGGAAAGAAATTGATTCTTATCTAGCCATGTTTCCGACATTCCCATCTCCATAGATGATTGAAACTTTGAAAAGGCAAGGGCATTGATACCAAGACTGTTGTTTTCTATGGCTGATATAGAGAAAGCCACCGACCTCTTGCGAACTTCGATAAGGAGAACGCCGGGAGTCAGACTGTCTGGTAACAAAACCGTTAAAACTTTTAAAGTACTTCCGAAGGATTTATTTGGTTGACATACAGTTTACCAGCCTCCTTGAACTCGTTGAGGAATTGTCAATAAAAGTTTAGAAGAAAAGCACATTGTTAGCTGGCAAGTAGACATAAGTCATTGTCACGTTAATAAGGCACAAACTCCGCTGATCCTGAGAACAATAAGCTACGATCGCTTATAGGCAAAAAATTTTGTACCTTGACAGGAAGAATAAAATCCCACAGGAAAACTCAATAAATTAATGGGGAAACAAGTTAAGCCAATGTTGTACGACGGAAACATCAAGTGGTTTCAGGAACGTTCGCGCCCATACGACGCGCGCATCAACCTTTCCATTGGCTAACGATTGACCTAGCTGTTCAGATACGTGGACCTTCCTTTGTTAACTCATAAATGTCCGTCGATTCCACACGAGTTGTTTCCGTTTCAGTAGCTGGTTTTGTAACAAGCTTTTTTTCTCCAAGCATTAACCTGATTTCCAGCTGGGATTCGGAGCTAGCATCGTTCCGTTCAATAGGGATCGCATTACAAGGAGCAGATCATAATAGATCTGACGAACCTTTCGCGGTAAAGTAAATTTTTGACTGCAGGCTGTTATGTATTACGCACATCCCCTTAAGTTCGCACAAAACCATATCCAAAGAAACAACACGCGCTTATTCACGACCATGTGAACTCGCATTCCCCGACTCGCTTCCGTTTACTCCCGGCAATCATGTGGACTCGTATGTTCGCTACGCCCACGCTTCCCTATATATATATATATATATATATATATATATATATATATATATATATATATATATATATATATATGGAGAGAGAGAGAGAGAGCAAAATTTCGCAAACCCATGTCGCCATACGACCAGTTGCCCGGCGTAATCGTAAGCCTTCGAGCAAAACAGTCCGCACTGGGTGCTGGAACCTGCGCACACAACTCGACCGGAACACGAGTGAGTGGCACGAGCGATGCATTGCACTGGTCGCGTCTCGCTTACCAAAGCAAGCTGCATGAGGCTAGTGCCGGTTACATGTTCTATTAGTCGAAGAACGGCAACCCAGCACCATGCGAACATAAGGTCGGATTCGCACTGTGCGGCCGCCAAAATGGCCAGCTGGTGACAGAGCCGACTAGCATCAGCGCACGATTGAGGACACTTCATCCATTACTTTTATTAGCACGCATGGTCCCACCATGTGTGATCTTGATGGCACAATGGATCAGTTGTACACTCACTTATCCTCCGTGATACGGTTAGTTCCGGGGAGGGGCGGACGTGTTGATCGTAATGCCGCCGTTTGCACAAACGTAATCGGTCCGTATAGTACTGGTTAAACCAATGAAAACGATGACTGGCTGCTCTCACTGCGCCACTCACGTACTGATGATCACAAACACCCGGTTTGCAATGGGTGCGAATGACAGCTACTTAAACGCACCTACGGAGTGATCACGCTCACCTGCTTGGCTATATCATCGTACGCCAGCGTGACATCCGTGAAGTAAGTATGACAGGTGTACTGCGTGGAGCTGCGTGTAGCACTGATCACAGGTTGGTGCGGAACAAATTGTGCATATAAGTTCGCAAACCTATGTATTGCTTGCCTGCCGTGAATCAGCGGCGCAAATTTGATTTACTTCCCTTAAGTACTATTGAGAAGAGAACGGAACTGCAGAATGCGATGGCTACCAGCCCAGACGATGGTGACCTGTGACACCACCTCAGAGAACAGGTGACGGCTACGGCTGAGGAAACCATGGGACGCAAATTTTAAGCGACCCTATTAGTTTGATGACAACAACGCGGCCATCGGTGCCATGGTGTCGGAGAATGCAGCATTCACGTGGCGAACCCTACCGACTCTTAGACTGACAATTAGTATCGCAAACTTTGACGATGCTTCAATCGAGAGCGTCGTCGCATCAAGAATGTATGGTTTCTGACGAAGGCGAAGCAGATGGAAGGCTACGCCGAACGCCGTCAATATGAAGACTTCTCTGAAGCCTTGAAGGCAGCGTGTGCACTCACGTTTCAGCTGCTGAGGACGTTGGTGGATGCTACTTCGGGCGCTGCTCGCACGCAGACTGCAGATTTGGCGAAAGCACTTCGACTCTCTTGAACAACCATTCAGAGATTGACTGGTCTATGTTGCACAGGCTGCAACATCAGGAGATTAAGAGGTGTCTTGTTAACACATTAAAATGTATGAGACACAGAGAGCACTTGCACTGCTGCGGAAACGGCCAATTCGCCGGTTCCCATGGGATCCCGTCTGAAATATTAAAAGACGGCGGACCCGCGTTGGTAAATGCGCTGCGTCATTTGGCAAAACGCATGTGCTTTTAAGAGAAACCGTCGACTGGCTTGAAGGATTCCCTTGTGATACCACTGTAGTACAACGGCAAAGTGAGCAAGCAATGTGTTAGGAATTATCATGGTATCAAGCTGTTGAGTTGAGTGGGGTGGTTGCACGAATCCAGGCCTCGTCACTCAGGTCGTTGAACCGGACGTTATGGAAGATCAATGCGGATTCCGTTCTGGCTGCAGTACCATAGATATGGTGCTTGCGCCTTGTCAGTTGCCAGAGAAATGCAAAGAGCGACGCCAGCTATTGTACTCTTTGTTTGTTGATTTCACCAAAGCATTTGACAGTGTGAAGCGCGATGCACTGTGGTTGGCGTTGGTCAAGTTTAATTGCCCGTTGTAAATCCAGTAAAGTGTCTGCAAAGTGGTATGCGAGCGAGAGCGTTTCTGTCGCTGGTGTGAAGCAGTGCAGTGTTTTAGACCCTGCCAGTTTAAATATTTAACTTCATACAATGATGTCCTGTGCCTTCGGTGTTGCTTGTGATTACAACGTCCGTGTGTAGCACCGTATTGATGGCGGGTTGTTGAACATCAGCTGTTACGGGGTGAGAAGCTTAGTATGTGAGACAACCATCCGTATGTTGCTGTCTGCTGACGACTGTGCGTTGTTTGCACACAGTGCGGATTAGTTGCAGCGTATGACGACGGCTCTCGCTTCCATATTGGCCCAGTCCGAGCTCACCTTCAACAAAAGCAAGAATGTCTTTTTCGGCCTTTAGAAAAAACGGAATATTAGTGCCTGCCCCAAATCTAGATTGGAAACGAAGTTTTGGATACCACCTCTAGATGTTTCTATGTGGGGAGTGCACCTTCGACCAACCACCAGATGACGAGAGAGCTGTGCATCCGCGTATCAAAGACCGCTGCTGCATTTAGCAAGCTGGAATGTGGTGTATGAAGGAAGCAGAAGCTTACTGTTGGGACGAAGATGTGTGTACACCGTTCTGTTATAGGGCCCGTTCTTTGAAAGCGCAGTGAAATGTGGATGCTGTAAGGAAATGAGGTCCGTTATCTGGATTCATTCCAACGACATTGCCCACGTCGTATTCTGCGCATCGGCTAGGGTGGCCAAGTTGCTGATACGTAGATGCTCTGCCGCAGTGGCATATATGCATACTCCTGCTGAGGCACCTGAAGTGGCATGGGCAACACCGCCGTATGGATTCGACCAGAAAATCAAACAACTGCTATATGGACAGATTAATGTAGGGAAAGGAAATGTTGCAAGGGCAATCTACATTATCAGTCGATGGTGCTGTCCGTCTTTTCATAAAGCAGGGAACGTGGACGCTGTACCGAAACTAAGTCCGTTATCTGGATACATTCCAACGACATTGCCTACGTCGTATTCTGCGCATCGGCTGGGGTGGCCAAGTTGCTGATACGCAGATGCTCTGCCGCAGTGGCATGTATGCATACTCCTGCTGAGGCACCTGAAGTGGCTTGGGCAACACCGCTTCGCTTAAAGAACAGATTTTGACCGCTGCCCATACTTTGATTTCATTTTTGGAAGGCTACATGAGACCTGACCGTTTTGCGCACATCCGTGTTGATTGGAGACGACGAAAAGCTGGTCAGCACCCAAGTTTGGTTTAGGGAATCACGGTGCTGATACCACAGCTAAACGCAGTTGGGTGTTCTAGGTTCGCGAGTTGGGGACCCAAAGACCGGCAGCACACCTGGTTAAAAACCATAGTGAATGTCGCCCCCATGAACATACAATGGCGAACAAGCGGTGAAAGTTTCTTTCCTTGACAGCCTATTTCCCTTTTTTGTCGTTTTGAAGGCTGGGTTGTGACAGTGCCAGTCATACGTTATAGATAGACCGCCAGTTGTACGCCGCAACGGCGCTTTGCTGCCACGCGTCCATCACCAGTCGCTGCTGGGCTGAGTATAAAGCGAGGATGTCCACCCCTGCGTACGTTATATATATATATATATATATATATATATATATATATATATATATATATATATATATATATATATATGCTAGAGATATTGTGCCATCGGAACCATGGTTGAATAGGAAAACAGTATGAATACTAAGAAATAACAACGAAAGGTTGTTTGTCCAGTTTGGCACTCACGATTTTGAATTCTTTTAGTTTATTTCCTTAGGAGGAGGAAGGTGGGACACCGCGAAACTCCGATGCACACGTCAGCCACTGATATCGATCTTGAGCCACGGCTTCTTAGGTCTTCATCTAGCAATTATCCGCATCCCTCGGACTACAAGCAGGTAGTCGACAACCAATGACCGTGGCCAACTGTTCCGTCAGCTTTTGCATGTGGCTTCTCCAAGTTGCATGCTGTCCATCAGACCGTCTCTTCTAACCCTGTCCAGCAACCGCAAACAACGCGGGTAACGCTGAACAGACATGTGCAATACGTGTCCCAGCCATCGCAGTTGATGAAGTGAGACGAGCTCCTCGAGCGAGTGGTTTCCTCGTCCCAAGACACGCTGTCTAACTTCCACATTGCTTACGTGGTGCCGCCACCACACACGTGCAATGGACCGCAGACAACGGTGCTCGAAGACGGATAGCCTGCGCAAGTCACCTGTACGAATGGGCCAGGTCTCGCATCCGTACAACAGTACAGCACGAACAGTTGCACAATAGACCCATCCTTTGATGAAGAAATGAATTTCATGGGGACGCCACAAGTGCCTCAGCGTAGAAAAAGAGAGGCGTGCTCTTGAGATGCGCATCGAAATCTCGTCTCCAACAGCCCCGCCAGCAGTGATGCAACTTCCCAAGTAGACAAAGCTCTCCACAACCTCCAGTGTCTCACCAACTACAGTGAGTGCAGGCACAGGTACCTGGCAATCGAAAGACAGCGCTGCATTTGGATGGTGAAAAGTATATACCACACTTTAATGCTTGGATCGCCAAGCGGTTTAGTGCAAGTTAGGCGGCATGTGGATCGTCACCCAGCAAGACGATATCATCAGCATAATCCAAATCAACGACTCGAGGAGGAGCTCAACGCCAGCGTCCAATGAATCGCCCAGAGCGTTCTTCAGGATATCCTCAATGGCAAAGTTGAATAGGAACGGAGAGATAGGGCATCCTTGTCGAATTGAACTGGAGACCACAAAGGAAGGCGAAAGCTTGCCATAAGCCCTAACTCTGCCCGAGGTCAGACCATAGAAAGCGTGACGTGTGGAGACGAACTTCTCGGGGACACCATTCCTCAGTAGAATGCCAAAGTACCGTCCAACCGACAGAATAGAAGGCTGCAAGGAGATTCAAGAACACAGTAATCGTTGGCCTCTGATACACGTAGAGGAGCTCGAGGATTTGGCGGAGTGTGAAGATTTGATCGATGTATCCTCGACCAGGGCGAAACCCAGCCGATAAAGAAAGCATTCAGAACTGTCAGACGGTATAACGGCTAAAAAGGAAACCACAATGCTTCAACAAATGCTTTATTCAATTGAGTGAAGCGTCAGTGCGGCGTCAGTGTGGCGTACTGTAGACAACTTTCGAAAGGAAAAGCCCCCCCCCCACCTAAGCAAGTAATATCAACGGTCAATGTACATACGTGCGATTAAACCGCACAGTTGTCCCAGCATGTCGAGTTCCAGTATAGTTTGAGGTAACACGGCTTAAGGAGATGAATTCGATTTGTCAGTTGAACTGCAACTGTTTCCATCCACAATGGCGGCCGCAGAACAAAGGTTATCAAAGTGGATCGGAGGAGGGGGTATGGAGGTTTGCGGACAAATGAACCGTTGATTAGTAAAGTACCATTCATCACCGCCCAATTGTATGCGCAGTGTGGAAACGACCTGTTTGAAGCGGAGTACTGGTAGATGCGTCGGCCGGTGGCCGAGTGGTCTGCACGTTTGCTTTGCAACCATCCGCGTAGGGGTGGGCGTCCTCGCGGTATACTCAGCCCGCACGCGACTGGTGGTGGTCGCGCGGCAGCGAAGCGCCGTTACGGCGTACAGCTGACACATTATTATTATTATTATTATTATTATTATTATTATTATTATTATTATTATTATTTTACTGGTAGATGCAGGATGAGGATGAACTATCTACATTTGACGCAGTCCAAAAACGACGATCCGAGTGCACATGTGTGGTAGATTCAGTTGCCATGGTAGCTCGTACATCATTTGTCTGCCCAAAGCAAAACAGGAGTACGAGCTAAACCCTTTAATTAAGAGTATGGGTTTAGAGGCCCAAATGCAAGAGTAGGTCAAAACAAACATTGGTACACCGATACTTCGAACAGTCTCTTCGATATCAGTTAATTGCCAGCGGTTGCATACGGGGGTTGGTCATAACGTGGTGTCGAACCAGTGACCTGTGTGCCTCAAACAAGACGCCTGAATAACTCGATCACTGGACGTTTGTGTAATGGAATGCCACCCAGTTTCGACCCACAGCTTTCGAGAACAAAAGGCCTCAGACTGTCTGATACGAGATGCAACCTGGTAGATCTCAACACAGTCTGAGTGTTCGCAAATCATCGTGTCACGATGGCATACAACAACGCAACAGCGCTTTTCAAGTTCACTTTTCAGTTAAAAACATCTGCTAAGAGCACAATTTGTCAATGGCCTGCCTGAGGTACTCAAAAAATAAAGAGAGGAGAAAAACTGACATAAGAAGTGCAAGAGAGTGCTGTTTCACCTGTAATATGTTTCTGATCATTTTCAGGTTTGCGCCCGAAGACATGACAGCAAAGGTAGCATCCGGGAGACCTTGGGCAGACAGAGCAGTGAGGAAAGACTCAGTAGACCAATCCAGTTCAGTGAGATCGCTCGGAACAACTAGGATGACATGATCGGCTGTTTGTATTAGATCGATACATCCAAAAAGATCACCGAACTTGGCGGAGACCAGACAAAAGTGTTTATCGAACATCCGGGAGTATATTTGAACAACTTGCTGTAAACCGTTTGGTCCGTCGACTAACGCTTCGGGATCGCATTTTTGGAACAAAAGATTGGCAAGATGGACAGGAACGGTGCGAGTGAGTGGGACGAAAACACACCAAATGGGATTTTCAGGAACACCGCGCAAAAGCATCGCCTGTTTCAGCTGTAAAAGTTTGAACAGAGATGAAGACGCAATGCGATGCATACCATGGATGTCCTCAGTGTTCGTCGTTGTTTCAAACTGGAAAGACGCTGCTGTTTGTTAAGAATCTGAGAAAGAGAATGGAAATAGTAGCATCAGATTACGATTATGTAACTTAAAATACCAGAAACAAAACCAAGTGTAGGCGATCGGATGCTGAAGAATGTGATCGACGATCAAGCAAGACGCAACCATCGCAAATGAATACCTAGGAGACCAAGAAAATAAACGGAACTATCGAGGCAATGTAGAGTGGGAATTATGGAGGAAGCCATGTGAAAGGGACTCCCGGTCTAGATAACGGTCAGTGTACACTGTTGGCGTTAGTTGTGAACCCGGCGGTAGCGGCATGAAAAAGATTTTGCATGAAAGACGGAACGAAAGAGGGTAACGAGGAGATCCGTCAGCGAATGTTCAGATCTAACGAACTCCGCCGATCGATTGGTATCATCATCTCAACGCGGAGGCTTCGCTGGCTTGGTCAAGTGCTTCGCATGCCTACCTAGCGGCTACCACGACGAGCCCTATTAGCGAGCACAAGTGTGGCTTGGAAGCGACACAAAAGAGGGCAACGTAAGACTTGGATCAAATGTGTTAAAGTGTACACGATGAAGACGGCTTTTGTCCGGCGTTTCCGACTCACGCGTTAGGGACCAAAGGACCCCAAGACAGCTGGTTGCAAACGCTGGAGGATATGGCCAAGCCCGTACGCAATGGCGCACTTGCTGTGAGACCCTTCTACCCTAACAGTTGTTTTCCCTCTCATGCTATCTTTTTCTTCTTATGTGTCGTGGCACTCAGCCAATTATATGGTAATTAGTATAGTGTTGAATATATATATATATATATATATATTCTGTCAAATAAGTAGCTACCACCCAGATACCAAGGCGCGACGCATTCGGTAGCATTGAGATGTGTTGGGAAAATGAGAAAAATAATAAAGCGTCGAATAATGGACGGGTTTAACGTATAATAGGATGAACGAGTAAAGTGGAAAAGACGGCGGCAGTCTTCGAATGTGAGGTGTCTCCGAATAGTAGTGACCCAGTGCGGTAGCAGTGAATAGCCAAAGATTTGATTAACATCTTCCATATACGCTGGATTGAAGTAGAATCGTTCCTAAATGAGTTTAGCAACCAGTAGTTACGCCGTTGATTCACAAAGCAATAACGGTCACACAGCTGTGTTGGTATGCCGCTGTTCACACAGTAAGAAGTGATGTTGCCAAGGTAAGTCGAAAGCTCTTCCAAAATGCAACGACGGTATAGACGAGCGCAAGAATCGACCAGTTCGAGTCAATATCCAATGGGTGCTGGAAGTAGTGGTGTATCAGCCCGGTCTTGTAACTAACTACCCAACACCTAATAGGTGCGAAAAGCATACCTAAGCATACAATGTAACGAGTCAAGGCAACCAGAAGAGCTTGAAAAGTGGCCGGGTCTGTGTTTGGAGACAGCTATGTCGTCCGTGTACTTACAGATTGCCAGGTGGTTGTTTGGATGAACACCAACCCCAGAAAAGACATCTATCAAAAAGTTTGTCGATCACATAGCTGAAGAGATAAAAAGTAAAAGTAATGTGCTAGCTGTACGCCCTAAAGGCACTTCGCTGTCGCGTGTGGGCAGAGTATACCGCGAGGATGCTGGCCCCCACGCGAATTTGAACCGGTGGCCTCATGATTGCAAGCCAGGCGTGCAAACCACTCGGCAATCGGCCAAATAAGAAAAATATAACACAGGCCTTATGCACTGCACTTTTCGTGGAGGACGCAGAAGAGTCGGGGGTAAACCGTTACACTACCTCGAGAGTAAAAGATGGAAATAAACAGACCCTTCAAGCATAAACACAGGGGTGATTGACGACATATGAAAGAGACTCTGTACAAGGATAGGGACCATACTAGCTAATACTCACTTAATATTCGCCAAGACTAGTCAGCCTCAGGAATATTACGCCTATGGAAAGTCTAGATCTAATGGCAAGTCACGCCATAACATTTTACAAAGAATAGAGTGACAGCGAAAAAAACAGATCGGAAAGGTCCCCTTCTGTATGGCATACGGTGTTGAACAGTGATCATAAAAATCACCGTTGGGCCCCATCATCTTCTGAGATGAAATAATGCTGTCAAGGTCATGTACATGCGCGATTCATTGAGATACGCAGTAGTACACTCCAACTAGTTTCAGTCAATCAAAGCAGACAGACAAAAATGACTAGTCAAACTGTATATAATCAGACTCCCCGAGAGAGGGGTGTGGTCCGATGATCCTGGCTCATCGAAGGTAGTCGTGCGAGAAAACAGTGTACAGACTACAAGCTCAAATGATTTGGCCTAAAGCACAAGCACCGAATGTTTTACTTAACGGTGGAACAGTAACCATTCTTGCTCAGTTGTTCTCTACCACTAGAGTTCGGTTAAGAGGCTGGTGGGTAATAAGGTGCCACCAGAAACCGTCATTAAAGCTACCAATACTTTATAGGCATAATGTAGCCTTTTTGTGGCACAGTAGCCGGCTGCTAGCTATCCGGGACGATGTACATCTATCACTGATGACTCAGCCGGCATTTTTTCTTTCCCCTTGTATTGCGTCTCAATAGTTGTGTTTTCCACATCTGGCCAACGTGCATAACGATTATGGATAACCAATACCTTAGTCAATCGATGGTAGCATCATAGATATCTTATCTTCGATAGCTGAACACTGCTTCGCTGGTAACACCAAGTCAACCGTTCGGATCATGCACAGCGGCCGTGTGGAGCATGACAAAAACATTCTCTAACCACCATGGTTGGAGTCCAACACACGAACGTTACGAAGTCAATGGACAGAATCGGAAGGCGCTTTGCATTTGACTATTTCAGTGTACAACGTCACCAATCGCAGCTCGCATAGCAAAAACTAAATGTCAGCAGATGCCATCTCCATTCCAAAGAGATACGGGTTTAGTGATCATCAGGGCACGTGAGAAGCAGTATACTCGATCGTTTATAAGGAAGGGGCCATTAGTCACAGTTCAATCCTCTGAACGGATGGAAGAACGGTGTATACATAGTTAGAGGCACGGACTTAGAGAAATTACGAAATTGACCTAAGATAATCAACGCCCGACGGTTTACTCTGAGGTGTACAACATAAATGGTGGGCCTCTGTCAGCCAGAGTTACCGAGATGGGCGCACATATGGCCTACTCGCGGGACATTGTTGTTAGCAAAGCTAGAAACATTTCTGAATTGGACGGAAAAGCAAAAGTGTGGCAAAGTGTACGGCTGTTGGTAAGAAGCGAAAGCAAAGACGATAAAGAATTGTGACATTGCGTACATGATGCGTCTAGAGGACGACCGAGAGCGAGAAATAACTGGACTGTAATCCCGGTGCTGTGTTAAACATGGTTTCAGGGGAAAAGGTACTGACTTTTGAGGAATTCCTGGATTTGACATTAGAATTCGAGGTGCCCCGTTTTTTCTCTGATTTGTGCCTTTTATTCTGTTGCTTCAGTGAACCAGGCTTGTGAGAGTATGACATCTCACGCAGTAGATGAGCCGTGGAGGGCAATGTATGGAGTGTGAGATCAAACAATTCCGACGATCTGCAAATGAAAGGAAAAGCACAGACACAGATGAAACCGCAACAAAGAGATAAACCACACCACAAATTAGCAAAGGAAGAAGTTGAGGTGCGTAAAAAACCTCGCATCAAATAAGTATAAATGTGAACGAACACATAAGAAACGAGGTAACAAAGAGGTTTGAGACAAGACCAGAAAAGAATCAGTGCGAGACTATAGGGTTAATTCAGTTCGGCTGTGCAGTTCAAATGTAGTCGGATTGTGAATGCATCGCAGAAGAGGGAAACATGAAGGAAAACCAGATCATCAACATTGGGGTTTGTTGCTATTACAATGTGTCCGCAGCGACGATTGTTTAGACTTACTAATCAGCACCTTGGATCAGCGCTATCCCAAAAAGGTTGAGGCCTAACGTAGCACAATATTTGGCGTGCTACCGTAAACCATCGAGCCAGTCCAAGTGGAACTTTCCAAGCACATTCAGATTTATTCGTAGACGCCACACAAATGATTGGGAAAAGGCAAACAGTCTCAGTTTTCTCCTCGTCGGTTGTTGGGGAGTCGATGGCTTTGACTCTCGAAAAGGTAGCACGAACTAATTCTACTGGCCTACAGCACGAGCGCCACGGGCTATCTCTGACGATGAGAGCGTACACTTGTGAAGTGGTTACCTACTGGTCGCCTGTTAACAACGTGCGAGTCCACCAAGGCCGTGCTCGTGGCATACTACTGCTAAAAAACGCTTGCAAAGGGCAAGTGTGACGAGTTCCATGTAGATTACAGTGGGATTCTGTAGTCAAGCTCTTGAACTGAACAAGCTCCCATTGAATTGTGAGAATGACCAGATGCCCTTGACCAAACTGCTTTCTCGGAATAGTAAGTCTAAAGAATAGCAAAAAGAGTCATCATTTTCTCAAAGTGGGTACCCGGAGTGTTATGCGTCCACAAGCATCGTAGTCATTTTTCCTCTTCTGTTTTCTACTTTTCTTCACGGATTTTCTCTGGACATTCCCTGCTGTTTGCTTATGGCCGTGTTACATATCAATCCCTTCATTCTGTCACTGCCTATGCTGTAATTGTCTCTATACTCTGTTGCTGCTGCTGCTGCTCTCCTCCTCCTCCACCTGCAGCTTGTGATTCGGACGAGTCCGAAGGTTCCAATTCGATGGATTCTATTCAAATGAGCATAGATGAAAAGTTTATACCGGATGGCACTGCCAGTTCCTTACCAGATACAACTGTTGACACGGATACTGAAGCTATGGGATGTGACGATTCGCTGTCCGAATATATGGTTAAAACCACTGCATCCTCTGGCACCTCCGCTTTCTCCGCCGCGCAGCTGGCTAAGTTCAGAGCTGCTCGAAATGAGGAGCTGTTTCCTGATGAGGTACATCATGAATTACCCATTGAATTGAATTATTCTCACACTCCGGATGTCGTATCCACCTAACCACCTCTCGTGCTACCGTTGGACTCTTACCGTCATCGTGTGCTTGGTGGCTTATGTGAGCAGCCTTTATCGCATGAGTACCCGTTTTCCCAAGAGAACATTACATTTGAATAATAAACCTCACTCTTTTGGGATGCAATGTTCTGCTACTGTTCTGTGGACTTTGAATGTATGTTTGTCTAATTGGTGCGACACTCATCAGTCACTGTGGGCCTACATGTCTGGACGTTCGTAATAGGCTTACTTCCTGCAACCGTTGCAATGAGACTGGATCTTACTAATGGGTAGGAGGGTTTTAATTTTAATGTTTTCGTCCCGGAAGCTCACAAGCTACATAACACAGTCTAGCCCGGAAAAGCACCATACGCGTTTCGCCAATTTTGGCACGTCAGTTGTGCGCATTCACTCGGTCCCCTACTGGGGATCGAACCCACGACCGCTAGAGGCAGATGCCGACTAGCCAACATATTAAGTCAATAAGCCATTGGGGACTTCGGCTGAGCTACACAATTTGCAAGCTAACTGGAATATAGCACGACCTATCTTCCACTGCCACGCAGGTTACTACCTTAGCAGATGACAGTGGCTAGTCTCCGAAGGTCATGACTTGCAAATTATGTAGCCCAGCCGACGTCCCCCATGATTGTGTGGCTTAAGCTACTGGCTGTTTGGCATCCGCGTCTAACGGTCATGGGTTCGATCCCCAGTAGGGGACCGAAGGAATGCGCATCATTGACGGGTCAAGTTTGGCGAAACGCGTCTGGTGCTTTTCGCGGCTAGGCTGTGTTATGCAGCTTGTGAGCTTCTGGAACGAAAACCTTAAGACTGGATCTTAACGTGGTGCGAAAATTTGCATGCTTTTACGATCCATTGAACTATGGTGAGTGGTGCTTTTTGCAGCAGATTGCTCAATAGCTAAGTGCCAGACAACTTCAGTCTTGTAGCCCTTCAGCCTGGAAGTTAGAGTGAAGGTGCATCCTTATTCCTCAACACGCACACCTTGTAGCCCCTCTGTCGAACTCGTACTACCTTGCGGTCACCTTTTGAACCAAAGGGTTCGGTTTAGAATCCTAGTCGTTTTTCCGTTTAGACTTGGGCAACCTGACATCATCCTGTCCACGCAGCACAACGAAGCAATTTCTGTCGTATTTGCATATACTTGGGATCGATTGAGAAGTCATGCTTTCAGAAAGGTTTGAGAACTACTGTTTACTATACTTAATTGCCATTGTTTCTCTTTTGGCACAAAGGTTTTGTTGGACCAGATGTCTCGGCACATATTGGCTTAGCCTTTTATAGCGAACGAGAAAGATAATCCTGATAGCGGAGTCATGGGTCAATAGACTAGTACAGACATAAATTGTAATGTCATCTCAGATGGCCCAGTCAGATGGAGATTATATCAGAGGTTTCGTCCCTAGTCCTGACACTTACTGTCTTCGTGACGACGGTAATAATGTCGATCTTCGCTATCCGGCCTGCATTACGTACCTACGCTCATTAGACTGGTTAGACTAAGATTACTCACAGCGCAGTTGAAAGCTCCACTCCACCAATCCTATTCAGCCTTTGGTTCTTGCTATATCCACCACCTCTACGATTGATCTTCAAAGCACTGATCGCAAATCTCTCTAGCGCATGCTTAAAGCCATTAGCAGTACTCCGGCAAGTCGTACGTACGCTTCGCTGCCATTTGGCCACCGTTGGCGGCGTTTGAGTGATGTTTACTTCAGGTCACCCGCATCCACGCGGATTCGAACCGGCGATCCCAGGGTTACAATACAAACATGCAATCCTTTCGGCTACTGGCGAATGCCTCGCTGCAACCGAATCTGCATGGACTGGTACTCCTCGGCGGTCACCGAATGCGTTTTTTGTGCTCGAAGATCTGTGTTCATGGCTCTCGCGTTGACCAAAGTGTACGTATATCCACTCCTTAAAGCTGATTTTTTACGTACACTTAGTTTTGGGAGGGAGTCCTCTATCTCGTCAGTATTGATCTGACCTGACGAAGCGTTTGTGTCAAAGCGAAACATTGTCACTGTCACCCGATTGTCCTGAAAACGTTCTGAAACAGTAGCCATGGTATCTCTCACCACGGATGATGATGACCTCTCAGATCACGAACTAGATGGGTTACTTCTGTGCCGAGGCCACTACTTGTCGCCTATTTGCACACCTGAATGACACCGCTGTTGTATTGGAGGTTTTTTAATTTCTGTGTCATTACGTCATGTCTGTCGCATGCTAACTTGGTTTTCTCCATTTCCTAACGCTTCATTTAAGGTTGAAACCCCACCATTTTTACCAGCTCGCGAACGGTTCTCAAAATATCGAAGTCTGCCTAAATTCCATGGAAGTGTCTGGCCTGTGGAAAAAGACACGCTTCCTCTACATTACGAAAACATCGCATGGTACGTCTTCGGCCACTTCAATCCAGTACAATTTCCACATGTTCGCTATCATGTTTGCTATCATCCTTTAAATAACTGTTTCTCCATGCGTCTTATTCACTTATTTTGGCCCAGCTTCCCCAGGTCCATGGTGTTCCATTTGGGGTTGATCTAACTACCATATTATCATGTGTCGTTGCGCATATATTCTTCGATTTGTCTGGCGCTTCACTGAAGCGTCCACTAAAACATGAACCGCCTAAGTTGACAACGTCACGTCCCCTATATGTCTGTTGACCACCCTCCTTGGCTTGCATTATATGGTGTGACGTTTCGTTTTCGTGAATTGGCTCTTCGAGGTGAGCTACATCAATGGCTGGAGACTCTGCCGAACTTGGCACCGTGGAGGACATTCGGTTTTTGGCATCCACGTCTTAATGTTTCACCACGATTGTTATTTTGTGCACTTCTTCTTGCCCCTGATTGCGTTCTACCCCACTTTCCTCACCTTTGTTAGTTTTTATTCATCTAGTAACGGCAGTCGCGGAAACAGGACCCACTACATTCGGGTACTCTGGTTATGGTTATTTGACGGAACTGTGAACTCTCTTTTCAAAGTTGAATTTAGAGAACACACTGTATGGTTGGGTTGCGACTCGCAACTTCTATGGAGACGTCGGTTCACTTTGAGGTGAACCTCGATCATTCCGATCGCGAGAACCGTATCCGGAATGGAAATATTTAGGTGTTGCTCCTCCCACACCACGACCGCGGTTTCATCCTGGTTTGAACTCATCAGGTTGGAGATAGCCTGGGCTGTTCAATGACTGCACGGGCTTACTTCTGATGCTGATTTGTTCGGTCTTCTTCACTTTCTGCAGGTTATATCCTCTCGGATTTAGCCGGCCAGTAGCCTAAAGGTAACGAGCTTGTCTTGTTATCTGACGGCGCGGGTTCGAGCCTGCGTAGGGGCAGAGCGACCCTCGCAGTATCCTTAGCGCATTGCGACCGCTGATGGTTGTTTTGCAGCAAAGCGTCGGTACTGTGTACCGGTGTACTGCTGATACCTTAGGTCCTTTTGGAAAGACAGCTGTCATCATCGATGCCCACTGCTTCCTCTTCCGCATAGTTAATTTGTCATTCCGTCTTCCTTCAGGCCGTCATTTGATTTAGCCTCATAACCATTGGGTTTTCGCTCTCTTGCACTTATCAGCAAGTGTTCCTCTGTCGTCACCTTCATGGTCATATGGTATCGATTTTTCTCGTATGTTGTACTAAACATCCGTTCACTCCTGCGCGCATTCATCTTCAATACCACTTGCGTCAATGACTTCATCCTTCTCATGTTGATCAGCTTTCGGAATTACCACCGCAATCGACGTTCCATTGCCCGATATCTGCAGAAGCGTATTGCGACCGTCGAAAAAGATCAGTCCTCCACTCTGAAATACGTCCCAGTTGGCGTATTTGTTCAATTGTGCATCGGCCCAATGAACAAAGAAACAATTGAGGCCATCCTGGATCGACATTCCTCTGAGACAATCGATTCATCAAAAGAATCTCTGGCCCCTCACCCTCTTGTTGTCTGGTCTTTGTTACCCCATGAGACACGTATTTCTGTGTGTCATTACACAATGCGCCGAGTCAATCGCGCGATGGAAGCTCTCTCGGATGTGGTCGCCTTAGCGAATGCGGCAAATAAAGCAAGCGAAAATGCCACCTTGGCTTCTGCGGAGAACGCTGCGCTGGAATTTGGCGAGGAGGCTTCCACACGTGTGGAAATGGAGAGCGAGACTGTGCAGGATTCATTTACGCAGTATAAAAATGCGAGTCTGCGGAAGTCTAGGCTTGCTTCAGATGACCCAACTCTGCCTCCGGAAGCTGAACCGATCAAGTCAAAAGAGCTAATGCTATTCCAGGTGAGTTTGATTCCTATTTTGATGATGCTACCAACCTCATGTTGGAGAACCTATGAAGGTTGTCTTTATAATTTTTAGCGCTATTTCAGTGTGATCAACTCACATGTGAACTCTGAGGTGCCTGCCTAAAATGTCAGCCTCTGTCGCGAAATCATTCCTTCAGAGGTGAAAATGCATAAGCGAAACTGACAACACGTTCGATCTCCAGATCGTCGCTTTCGTATGTTACTACATCTGTAAGGTTCTCCCTTTGCCCCACTAGACAAGCTCATGCGATTGTCAGCCAGCCAGCGGAGCCCCGTAAGCGGACAATTATGTCCGATCTGTACTATAACCGAATCCTCAAGTCTCCTTCCAATGGACTGTCTGGCTCGTCCCTCGAGTCCATCATGACCATCGTGTCTTCCATCTTATGTCTACAACTGGGGCTTTCATTTCAGTATGTTTACTACAACTGCTGTGTCCAAGGAGGTTGTTCATCCTGACGAGACAAACGCCAGCAGTCGCCCATGAATCCCTCACAATTTTGTTACCAGACGAATATGGTATGTAAGCAACTACCAAGCTGTTTTGAAATTCCGACTTTCAGTACTTCGTGATAACTTTGCGTCCCACATGAACTATTCCGGTAAATGCAGTCGGCAATGTGAATCAGATCTGGGGCATCGTAATTCTCGACATGCACTTTTCTACTAGACCAGCTGTTTCTATTAGCGATGACTGAGACAGTGATTTGAGATTAATTGTTGGGATTCACTGTGTTTCGTTTACAGTCGCCACTCTATTCGGTGTGCGTTTCGTGCCGAAATCAGAATTAAGTACCTGCACAGATTCACGCGCAACACTACACGCTTCGGCATATACTTCGCACCTTCAAAGTGCTGTTGCAGGACTGGGCCGACACACTTCCGGTTTTCGCTTTTTTCGAATAGCCACTGAAGAAGTGGTCGCTGGGTTCACTTACCTTAGTAGCTATGACCTCCGGTGATCACATCGCTGAAGAACTTACTTCGCGTATTAGCAACACACGAGTGGCTTTCCAGAGACTCAACCATCTAAGGAGACGGCGGGATATCAACTTGTCAGTGAGAGATAGGATGTAAGGCCGGTCATACTGTATAGACCAGAAACCTGCCAAGTTCGCGATGAAGACATTAAATGCTCGGCCGTGTTTGGTCATCGGTGCTTGGGAACTACTGCTCACGTTTGAACGGAACACCGGGTGAGTAATTATGTGGTCCGCCAGTTGATTCTTGGCAAGAAGCTTTCTGGTTTCTCATTCTGGTTTTTACCGAATCTTATTCGCTTATGTTTGTTAGACCATGTCCTTTGTGTGCCTGTTTACCGGATTCCTCGGCGTGCATTATATGCCATGGTTGCACCAAGTTAAGCGAAACCACGAGTTGGCCAGGCCATGGCTTGGCATAGTGGCATGAAGAAATTGGCTGAGTGTTTTATATGTATATATATTTTTGCAACAGTCTATGAATAAACATTGAGCCATCGGAAACCATGGAACTCAAAACAAGGTACAGAAATAGTAAAAGAAAACACAACATAACACATCAAAGTCCATGGTTTCGTCAGAGGGCGAGATACTACCCGGTTGCCCAAGCCGAAGTAGGGTGTTGATTTAGGGGACACCACCCCGAGCCTTTGGCTGAATAGCCTGCCCGCAAGGCAGCGGAGCGAATTCAGGGAATCGCGCCCATTTGGAGCCAGTTACAGATTGCTCAGTTCCTACACCTTTCGTTTGTTCCTTTGTCAAACAGGGGCCCAATGCTCCCCAAAATTACAGCATAAACTTGCTGGAATACAATGCTTCGCCAGGATGAAGCAAGGGGCAGTGACATGATAAGGTTGACGCGTGCGTCTTCGTGAATGGGGTGCCTCACGATGGTCCACACCAGTGGTTGGAGACATTATCAGACATTGGGCAGTCCCTCAATCAGTAGCGTTTCTGCATTCATTTTCTTGCATCTGGTTGTTAATTTTCGTTTCATTCTGATTAGTTTAACGGATTTCCTGCTTGCTCCCGATTTCTTTACATTCTGTTTCTGTTTAACCGGACTATCTTGCCGCTGGTATTTACTGTTATTCTTGCTATCTGAGTCGTAGCAACTGGATCCACCACATTTCGGTGCTCGGATCATTGTTCACCAACTGAACCGAATTTGGCTCACCTTCACTGTATTCGACATGGCGATATTCTGGTGTTGCTCTTTAATATTTCTTCTCGCGATCGATTTGAGATATATGACCGCAAGAAATGATGGGGTTTATGAGGTTTTTCCACGAATTTTTGCTTTGAGTGCTCCATTTTATCATCTCTATTTGCACCATCCTTTCACGTTATTGACGCAGTACAACGGTGGTACACTGGTTTCTAATCGCTGTCCCCCAGTGGAGCGCTTTTGATCGATTTGATTCGAATTCGATTGCTCTTGACTGCGGTCGCAGTTGCATCATCTGCTTCACCCGAATAGCACACATCAGTTTTCGACCGACATTCGTCACATCCACTGCATGTGCGGAGCAATGCTGAACGACCGTTTCTTCATTTCGATAATTGTCACCCGTACCCATGGTTTCTAAGTTTGTATGCGATGTTCGGCTGATGGCAAATGTCAGCAATCTTACACTTCCCCGAATTAAACTGGAGCAGATTGTGGAGTGGCCACCCATACCTTCTGACCAGGTCTCTCTGAAGTGAATCTTGATCTCTTGGGTTGACGGTCGTCCGCCACATCTTAACATCCTCGGTGAACAACAGGAAATCTGAGGCAATCAAACGCGTATGCTCGTTAATGAACACGAGAAACAAACGCGGCCCCTTACTGATCTTTGTGAAACTCCACATTCGACATGATTCGGATCGGACAGCGCACTTCGAACTCAGACCTGTAGTTGCCGATCCCACGGAAAATTCCTGATCCACCCAAGGACAGGATCTCCAACTCCATAACGTTCGATCTTGTGAAGCAGAATGCGGTGGTGCAGTCGGTCGAACACTTTAGAGTAGTCGAGGTGAAGAACGTCTGTCCCTCCATCTTTATCAGCCTCTTCCGTCCAGCTACTGTGTGCAATCGGTAGGTTGGTGGTACATGAGCGGTGTTAACGGAAACCGTGTTGTTCGGTTGCTATAATCTTGTGCCGTTATAGATGGTCTATTAAGGCCTCAGCGATGATTGCCTCCATCACCTTTGAGAGCACAGAGAGGAGAACCACTGGGCGATAGTTGGCGGGTTCCGAGCGATTATCGCTTTTGAAAATTGGAGTGATTAGGCCATGTTACCACACGGTAGGCACAATTTGCTTATCCAAGCACATTGGGAATAAATGCGATAATGGTCCGGCCAGCGTTCTTGTTGCTGCGTTCAGCGCCTTCAGGTGCATATCATCGATTCCGGGAGAATTGTAGGTGCGTAGTGATAGCAATTTCTTCAACACATGTGTGATAGTAAAATCGATGTTAGTGAGTGTTTAAAGTGGGGCTAGGGATGTAGGTATGTAACAGTGGCGGACGTCTCGTTGGAAGGTTGGGGAATACCGCATTCGTAGGGCGTTGGCTACCACTTCAGCACTGCGTGCCACTCCGACTGCCGTGTTAAGTAGGATGATACTGTGCTTCAATTTCCGGATGGTGTTAACCTGCTTGTATAGGATTTTTTGTCGGCAAATTTACAAGCCAAATGTTGTTGATGAGTCAATGTGTCCTCACAGATAACCATGTTACAATGGTTGCGCTGGGTCACGTAATCGCCCTAAGTTTCGGGACTAGGACGAGCTCTGTTAGTGTGCCAAGCTGCATTTCTTATTGACATCCGCTTGCGGGTCCTACTTCTGATGAAAAATCGAGGGATTGGTGAGGTGAACTCTGCTTCTGAAGCAGTTGCGATTAGATTGTTGAAGCGTCCAAGAAACTGAAATTAGGCGCTGTCAACTGAGCCACCTTTCAATAATCCCCAATCAGTCGTCTCAGCCCATCGCAATGAGGCTGGATCTTACCGTGGTGCGATGGTTTGTGTGCCTCATTGATCCATTGAGCTATGCTGTGTGGTGTATTTTTGCACTTTCAGAGCCACTCATATCAGATTGGCCAATGGTTAGAGGTCAGACAAACTCAGCCTCCTGGTCCTCCAGGTTGGGGGTTGGAATGAGGGTGGCTCCTTATTCCTTAAAACGGACTCCTTGTAACCCAACGCCAAACCCGCTGCCTTGCGGTCAGGTTTTTGAACCGAAGGCTTTGGTTGAGAACCCTAATCGTTCTCTTGTCTAGGCCTGAGCAATCTGACGGTATCCTGCCCATGCAATCCTTTGAATCTTTTCTCAAACAATTTTCTGATGCTCTGGCCATCGTAGAGGATAATCAACGGTGCCCTATCTGCTGCATCGAGCAGGGTGGATAGGGGTTTGGATGCTACAGCTTAAGCCTTCCCGCCTTCTTATCCCCTCTCTTTTGATTTTTCACCCTTATCGCCCCTTTCCAGCTTCACTTATATCCCTCCTGTTTTCAACCTCCCTAATTCTTGGCCCTCCCCCACCTTACTTCAATGGTCTCTTGTCTTAGTTTCAACTCACATGTGAACGCGGAACGTCATTCCTGCCCTGTCAACCAACCCATGTCCAACCAAGTGGCCGAGCCCTGTTCATCGACTTCCTTTTGGATTCCCCGATAATTCTTCAGGTTGACATGCTTTAATGTACGCACATTGTTACAGATCGGTCAACAGGCAGCACTTTCCCGAACATTAGAGACCCTCTCGATTGATATCGGCTGCTTATCGGAGACCGACCTGCAAGACCCGAGCTCTGTGCTCACTTTGCGATCCCCTTCAGATGACACCAGCAGCCCTTTCTCATTGTGCCTATCCGATGACGATGCAGCTTCGAGCACCGGCCAAGCCGATGTTGGTATTGCCCTGAGTCCCCGGGCTGAAGCTGCTCTGGTTGTTTAGATCCCAATCAGTAGCCGGATGTGTGCGGTCCGATTGGCTGGCTCGTTCAAAGCTTCGAAGTCGCGTGGGACTAACAGGTGTCTATTCGTCATCGCAGCCTACGCACCGACAAACTCTAAC